TGATCCTTACGTCGTGGGTTCGAATCCCACTGTGGGACTTGGAGACCGGTCCTTCAGGTGAGATATAACCCGAGGTCCCCTGTCGCAGTAGGTGCTCGCACGAACAAGATCCCTCCCTGCTCTATGGCCCTGAGTGCCGAGTATAGGGCAATTTGTAGCTCTCCACCGGCAAGTGGTGGCGTCTCCATATTAGTGAAAAATTCTCCAGAGGGACGTAAAACAATATACAATTAAATAATGAATTAATCAATCATACGATTTTCAGTATATAATCAATAGATCTCCGCCCTAACACCAAAACCCCTGACTATGGGGACATAAAAATCGGATGAGACCGTATAAACTAACGTCCCGTGTCGCAGTAGGTGCTGGCAAAAAAAGATCCCTCCCTGCTCAATGGCCCCGAGTGCCGCATAAAGGAAAAAATATGCAGCTCTCCACCGACAAGTAGTGGCTTCTCCGTATATATGAGTGAAAAATTCTCCAGAGGGATGTTAAACAACATACACACAAACAAATTAATACATAGCATTGTGATTATTATCAATAAAGTTACTGCATGATGGAAGTGTGATTCAGTCACTATACACATACATATTACAACGAGTGTTTGCATTATAAAATTGTTTTTCTTTTTATTTTCTAGTTTGTTCAAAGAATGAGTATTAAGATTGTCGAATGCTTCATGTTTATTAATACACAATATAATTTAAAAAAATATCATGATTCATTTGTTCATTTACAATACAGTAGCTTTACAATAAAACGGCCATAAGCAGAATCAGAACACACATTAAAAAATCTTGGAATCATAGTCATTATATCATATCATTTCTGCCAGGGAATAACCCCAAAGACTGAACTTGTAGCACTGCTTCAGGTACAGTCTCTGGGTCTTTGCTTCTGTAGTTGCTCGATTGCACCCAACAACGTTGTTCGAATCTGTAAGGTTTGCCCAATCTCTCCAAGCTCCCGGAACCACGTGATGATTTAGATCCTCCTGATCAAGATTTCCGTTTTGGAGATTTGGAAATGTCAATCGCATCAAATTATGAATACAGTAGATATGGTAAGTGTTTGGTTATTGTCACACGGGAGCTAAGAGGCATTGCCATATGTTGGCGAGTATTCTAAATCAACGCGCCTTGCTCTGCAGAGGCTATCATAGTTGAATATACTCTTTTCATTGGTCAAATTCCTTCTGGAGAAAGGTTTCATAAGCCATGTCCTGAGAAGGAAGGCGTCATCACCAACAATGAAATACGTGGTGTTTCTGTTATCATACGAGGGACAGCGTCTAGAAATCCAATATTTTGATTTTCGATGACATTTTTTAATTCCGATTTGTTAAATACAGTAGCATCAGAGGCAGAACCATTTCCACCTCCGCCAACCCCAATAAATTTATAATCAGCATCAACAAGCCCCATAAGAATGTAGTTGTAATAAAGTAAATCTCCGTTTCGGGGGCATTTCATAGCAATATGCTACCCTTCCAAAGCACTAAGAACATGGTCCAGGTTCCATCTAACTCTGAACTGTTGCCCCTCATCTGTAGTTGTTGGACAAGCAATTACTTTATCAGCATATTCTACTATTATACCTTCACATACTTCATCCCCTGCCGACCGATCATATCCAACGTGTGCTCTTTGTCATGATCAGATTTAAACGGTAAATACCGTCGTCAATTCAGCGTATATAAATAATGGACTAACAATTAGCATGAAAAACGTCAGTCAGCATTTGACTCAAATGATGAATTGTATTTGCTGACAAGGACATTGTATCGACCATAGAACTTAGGAAATGATGACTTTAAAGGAGCCTGCTGAAATTCTTGTTTCATCAACTTGTTTGTCCATAATATACCTTGTTAAAGAAATTGTTCATACGTAGAGCATGCTCTTGCGTATCCAATCTACTGAGATCTATGTAAACTCCGTATGCAGGTGATGAAGGTATATTGCTGCATAAGTAAGGGAAGTTGACGATGGAAAAATTAAAGTCGTCATAGAGCTTGGATGTTAGATTACCATTAACGTCTTTTTCAAGTGAAATATCTAAATATAAACAGATGTTTCAGACTCTGTGGTATATTTTAAATCAAGCTCACCAGGATACTCGAGTATATCGTATCGACATAGGAATGGAATTATCATTGTTAATTGACAGTACGTCTTCGATATATCTATGTTGTTACTCAAACCGTTTGTATTCGTATGAACTCGTCACTTTTCGTAGGAATATCGTGTATGTGAGACAATCCGGAGAAAGTTTTTTCCGATACAAACCGTGTTTTATAATCATGTTTCCGTTAGATGGCGTTTTTGGTCACAGAGGGTATAAAAATAGATAAAGCGGCATATTGAAGTTTGTTGCGAAGTTGATGCAGAAGTGGAGACCACAAACGGCTGTCAATTGATAAGTAGGTTGTAATTTTTTGAAAGAACAAGAGGCCCATGGGCCTTATAGGTCACCTGAGTATCATGTAACAACTTTCCTGCAATTGAATTTGGTTCGTGTTTTAAACAAAAAGCCATGAAATGCACAATTTTGAAAGAGGCACCATTGCTTATCATAATTATACGCTTACCATGCTTACTATGGTCACTTAATACCCAGAGGTAGATCAAAGTAACAAAGAGAAAATACTTTTCCCCTTTATTAACACCAGCTGTGCATCCCACTCCACAGGAACCACTGACCCTGGGGCCACATCTTTCAAAATTGTGAAAATTTTATCATAAATTTTATTTCATCATAAATGGTTGATTAATACCGAAGAGCAGATTTCAAAGCATTTTTTTTAGACAAAGTACCCCCTTCCCCCCTGACCCAGGGGCCCTGAAATTAACCATTTTGAAAGAGGCACCTTTCTTCATCATAAATATGTAATTAGATCATTTGCATATAACCATGAACAACGGAAAATATTTTCAAAAAATTCATGCATTTTCACTATATACTGTAGATTACTTATTTTGCGCTAGTGCTTTATTTCGCGAACTGGCTCTTTAACGCCAAATCGCGAGAATTATTTTTCGCGAATGGACAATGGATCAACAGAATTTACATTGATTTCAGCACCATCAAAATAAAAGCGAGTAATATGTTTTCGAGAGCGGTGCTTCTCGCGAAATTACGCGGAAATTAATTCCTCGCGTATGATTAGGAATCTACAGTAATCATTAGAGCCCGCTCTAACGCCAAAAACTCTGACCCAGGGGCCATGAAATTCACAAATTGGGAAGAAGCATCCTTCCTCGTCATAACTACTGTATGTTCATAAATGATTTAATTAATACCCATGAGCAGAGGAGAAGATTTTCTAAGAACTAATATATTTTTCACTATATAAACAGAGCCCCGCCCTAATACCAGAACCCGGCCCTGACCCAGGGGCCATGAAATTCACAATTTTTGATCAGACATTTTTTCTCATCATAACTTTTCACTTGGTTAGTTTATTTAATACCCAGGAGCAGAGAAGAAGATTTTTAAAGAATTTATGCAATTTCACTATATAATCAATTGAGTCTCGCCCTAACACCAGAACCCCTGACCCAGGGGCCACGAAATTCACAATTTTGGAAGAGGCAGCCGTATTCAACATAGCTATACGTGGTAAGTTTATTTAATGCCCAGGAACAGAGAAGATTTTCAAAGAAATAATGCATTTTCACTATATAATTTATTCAGCCCACCCTAGCTCTAGAACCCCTGACCCTTGGGCCATGAATTTCATAATTTTGGTAGAGGACTCAATGCTGATTACAATCATATCATCAGTTAGACTGCTTAATGTCCAGGAGTAAAGTAGAAGGTTTTTAAAGGTTGCATTAACTTTAGTGATTTTGGACCCACCCCTCAGGCCCCAGGGGAAAGGGACCATGAAATTCACAATTTTTGTTCCCCATCAACTATAGTTGCTTTGTGCTAAATTTGGTTGAAAATGGTTGATTGGTTGCAGAGAAGAAACTGATAATGTTCAAAAGTTAACACACGACGCACGTCGCACGACGACAGACGAAAACGGATAGCAATAGGTCACCTGAGTTTACTCGACGCACGACGAAATTAGAAAGCAATAATTCACCTGAGTTTACTCAGGTGACCTAATAAATATATATGAAGCTTTAGATGTGACTGAATAAATCTTTCCTGGCTTTGAATATTATTTATAACCAAGAAAGCTACCGAGAGAGCCAGTAAGAGCCAGTTATGATAAGAGCGGAGCTGTAAGAGCCAGTCACCAGCAGGGTCGAAGTTGTAAAAACCAATCGCTTAAGACCCTTTCACAATTGGCGCACGAGCACTTCACGACACTTTGCGATCGGAAAATTTTAGCTTCACACAAGCTCTCGCATACGTTGGACGATGTTTCGCATTCGTCTCGCATTCGTTGCATGCGTTTTAGTGGTCGCATTAAGTCTCCTCAAAATAGTCGACATGCACACTATTCAGACGCGACCAAATGCGATCCACATTTGTCGCAATTCAACGCACGAATATTAGTACGAGCGTCTTATAACGTTTTGTGTACTCACAAGAGTGATGCACGATTTTTAAAGGTCATAAGATGAATCGCAGCTGTATATGCTTGTGTTGTACGACAATAATACTGTTGCTCAACGTGCCTCATGTACTCTTGCAACGTTTTACTATGCACGATTTATCAGCTTCAATTTCCCATGCTTTGCCACTAATATATGTAAACTCTGTTTAAGCACCTCTGTTTTAGACCACAAATGACCATGGATGCTGCATCACCAATAACTCCTCGCCGTCTGCTTGGTATACTGAATCTCCGAATACTCCAGCATAGACATATGGTCGTGCGGGCATTACTTAGTCGTCGTCGACAAAGACATGAAAGACATGGAAGACGTTGGTAGGTCAAGCCATGGATTGAGAGGCGCATGTAATTTGACCAATATGAAACATTGATGACGGAGATAGAGAGAGAATGACAGGGGGACTTTTTGAACTGCATGAGAATGCCACCAGTCATATTTTACGAGCTACTGCAGCGCATTACTCCAAGAATCCAGAAAAGTGAACGTTACAGACGGCCACTAGAACCTGGGCTAAAGCTGGCTATTACCATCAGGTATATAGTGACAGGAAACAACTACAAGAACCTCCAGTATTCCTTCCGTGTGGCCCACGACACCATATCATTGTTCATCCCAGAGGTGTGCCAGGCCATTATTGATGAGTATGAAGACGACGAGTTTGCCTTTCCAACTAATCAAGATGAGTGGCGAGAAGTGGCACAGAAATATGGTGAAAGATGGAATTTCCACCACACATGCGGAGCCCTGGACGGAAAACATGTTGCCATAAGGAACCCACGTCAGTCACTCTACTACAACTACAAAGGGTTTCTCAGCATCCTCCTCCTGGACTTAGTCGACGCCGATTACAAGTTTATCTGGGCCGACGTTGATATTCAAGGCTCAGAAAAAAGCTGCTGCTACTTAGACTTCACTCATTCAAGGTACGGGCGGCGGCGGCCAAAACATCTGAAGACTGGGGATACATCTGGTTGTACATCTTGGGCTGGGGCTGCTTCTGTGTGAGGTCTTTAGGCCAAAGGACGGGCACTGACGCTGGTCTGACCGGAACCATCTGGGGGGGTCGCTGGTCTGTGTGGTTGTTGCAGGGGCAGCACTTCAAAGTGCTCCTGCTGCTCATTCTCCGCCCTGTCCTGGTACTTGCTGACGAGGGCGTACGCCTCTTTCGTGAAGTCCCGCCAGAGATGTCGAGGATGGGGTCGGAGGGCTTGCAACATCCAGTTCACCCTGGCCTGCTTCTCGTCACTGCTGTGAATCATTGTTACGTCGACCTTTGCAGTCAGGTCAACCGTCTGCCTGTCAGTCTTCTCCAGCAGGTCAATGTTTGCTATATCCAAGTCCTTCTTTCTCAGCTTCTTCCTGGTGGGTGCCTGTGTAACCGAGGAGGAGGGCTCACTATCCTCGTCCTCTTCATCAGCTGGTAATTGTACGAGCTGGGATCCCTGTGCATAATGTGCCTTCTCATGAAGCCTAAGTTTCTTTTCACCCACTTCTGCCTGGCTGTGAGGTTGCATCTTTTCTGGCCACTCTTCTTTTTCTGGACCTTGCCCAGGATGGTCCGCTGGGATCTATACCAGGGCCGGATGTGTGCTACTGAGAAGACACAAATGCCTATATTGGTTAACATTAAGAATTTAAAATATTTAACAATAAAATATATCAAAATAAATTAATTAAAATGTTCAATAACATTATTTGGATATAACCACCAGTCAAATTCATAGCTGCTGCCTTTTGCTGAATCAGGCGATCTTTTTTCTTGGAGTTTTAAAGTCACTACGACTTTTATCATAGAAGCAGGGGTTTTCTTAGTAAAAGTCTGTCAGCTCTTGTTCCTGCTCTAGGGTCAGGTCCAGGGATTTCTGTTTGCTAGGATCTTCCTCGTCCTTATCCTCACTGTACCCATCCGGTTCTAAAGGCTTAACTGGCTGATCTGGTGGCCCTTCCCCCTCGTCGACAAGTTCAGGCGGATTATGAACAGGACTCAGTTGCTGCGGCAGGTCCTGGGCCTCCTCCTCCTCCTCCTGGGTCTTCTTTCTACGGTTTACCTTGGCTTTACCTGTAGCTTTTGTCATCTTTTTGGGAGGCATCTCTCGCATTCGACTGACGAGGGTCGGAAACGGATAGTATACATGTATATATATATTCCCCTTCTCACTAGCACGATCATTCGCACCATGAAACGCATGATTGCACGAGCGACTTACGTCCAATCGCATTGGTGCACGTTTAATCGTCCGATCACCTGATCACTCGCGCGATCCTTTCGCATTATCTTACAACACTCGCTTTCATTGTACAACAGTCGCACATAGATGCAAGATATATCGTAAGATTCAATGCACAACGGTCGCTTTAGATCGTGCGAATTTCGTACGAATACGTTTCCATATGCGATTATTTCAGCAACAGTTTACGATCCAAATCAACGTTTTTCGGTCGCACGAATATTTTGTCCTTCTGCTCGTGCGCCAATTGTGAAAGGGCCCTTATAGAAGCCAACATCACTTTGATTTATTGTACATAATTAATAAAAGACAAGTAGTCTTCGATTAAAAATCTTATAGTGTCCACGATTGTTTTGAATATCTTCAAAATAATCACCGCGTTTGGCGATTTCCTGCGATGAAACACAAATTACATAGGCGTCGGAAGCAAATAGAAAGTGGAAGGGGGGGGGGGGGGGGGGGGCTAAACCACCAAAAAAAGGTAAACTCCAATTTTCAATGCCTAAATTATGTATCATTATATATATTTGCAAAAAAGTGCCCCCCCGGGGCCGACGCCTATGAATTAGGAAGATATCTTGATTATCTCCACGGTGAACGCCGAATTTACTGCGATTTTGTAATTCAAACTCTTTTGAACCTAAAAGTCGTGGCAGTGTGATATAATAATCTAGAAAAGAACACGAACCGTTAACAGGGAAAACATGTAATTGATGGAAACCCAAAAAGTAAGATCAGGGGCTCTGGTGTTAGGGCGGGGCTCTGTTGAACATATATAGTTTGTATGTTTTAACGTCCCTCTCGACGATTTGACACTCATATTGAGACGCCACCATTTGCCGGTGTAGAGCTGCAAATTTTGTCCAAAACTCAGTACTTCGAACCATTGAGCAGGGAGGGATCTTTTTTTCGTGCCAGCACCTACTGCAACACGGGACCTCGGTTTATACGGTTTCATTCGAAGGACCGGTCTCCACGTCCCTCGAGGACTCGAATCCACGACGTATGATATAAAAAAAATAAAAACTGCTCCTTTGCCAAGCGCTCGGCACTTCGAATTGAAACTGATTTTCCCGCGATAATACGTATAAAACCGAGGCCTCGTGTCTTGACAGGCGTTGGGACGATAGAGATCCCTCATTGCTAAACCGTGAGTGACTGACGAGTAAAGGTCTGAAATGTAAAGCAGTTCACAACTGGTATTTGGTAATGGCTTCATGTAAGTGAAAAATTCTCAAACGGAACGTAAAACACGAATCAATCAATTATTCCCCTTTTAATGAGCCTGGGGATGTTAGATGGATATGTTAGTTTTTAATATCTCTAAAATCCAATACTATCAAATTGAACTTGATGTATCAAAGCAATACCTACTGGATTCCTTAACTACATTAAATTTTAACAAGCAAAGATCAGGGAAACGATTTACCAGGCCTCGTCCATTACTCTTCACCGAACTATTAGAAACAGTGAATGAAATAAAAAAGAAACAACAATGAATATTGTACAACGGTATATATTCAAAATGGATTTTCCCCATGGGGTCTTAATTTCATGGAAACAAGACTTTATTTTCATTCAAGCTGCATGTGCGATGATGTCTTGGATTGCAAATGTATGTCCTAAATGAACTGATGTACTTTGGGGAAAGATTTATACGAAATTTAATCCTGTATGAAACGTAAATAAACCCTTCGCGAAAAATTCGAGGTCCTGTATTACGGTATTTGCTGGCACGAAAAAGATCCATCCCTGCTCAATGTCCCTGAGCGCACAGTATAGGACAACTTTGGAGCTCTCACCTGAAAATGGTGGCGTCTCTATATGAGTGTACAATTCTCTAGAGGGACGTACGTTAAACAACATACAAACAATCATAACTAAGCATTTATTTATTTTTTGATTTACTCAGGGACAAATGAGACGATATCTAAAGAAATAATGCATTTTCAATATATATTCAAGTCATCTGCGTGGCGCAGTAGTAAGAGCGTCTGCTACAGTGTCGCAGAGCAAGGAGTTGATCTTTACGTCGCGGGTTCGAATCCCACTGTGGGACTTGTGGACCCGTCTTTCGAATGAGACCGTATAAACCGAGTAGCCGTGTCAGAGGTGGTGCTGGCACAAAAACATCCATCACTGCTCAATGGTTCTGAGTACCGAGTACAGGACAAAAATTGCAGATGTCTACCGGCAAATGGTAGCGTCTCCATATGAGTGAAAAATCCTCGAGAGGAACGTTAAAACATACAAAATATATATGTTCAACAGAGCCCCGCCCTAACATCAGAGCCTCTCAGTGGTCTTACTTTTTGGGTTTCCATTAATTTCATGTTTTCCCTGTTAACGGTTCGTGGTCTTTACTAGAGCGTTAAGGTCGTATCACACTGTCACGATTTTTAGGTTGAAAAGAGAATTTCTTATTAATGTACATAATTCTTGCATTTGGATACTGGTTACAAATGTCTTGCATAAAAACAGCCTAATGAAGAATTCTATCTTTTTTCTCTTCCTACTTTTTGTTTTCGCAGTCTTATTTTTCTTTAACTTCTGTGCTCTCTTTTTCGCTCAATCGTTTCGATCTGTTCTATTTTTTCCATGTTCAACCACCTCCCACTGGTAGAATTTTGACGTCACTTACATGTAACTGTTTTCTTATTTATCACCTGTATGTTGCTACTGGTGAAAATTAATTCGTCAATTCTCTATTTTGTTTGAATGTGAATAACCATTAAGTTACATAAACAGCTTCAATAACGTAAGGGAATGTCACTTTCTTTATGTAACTGATTTGTCAGACGAATAAACAATTTCATCAATTACATTTATTTATTATTTAAAAATATATTTTTGAATATTGGAGAAATTGAAAAAAATCGGTCAAAACTTCATGAAAAGTAAAACTTAAAAAAAAGCTTTCAAACCGTAATATTCATGTAGATTAAGATGGAAAGAGTTTCAATTTATGAATAGGAATTTTAAATTCCAATCAATCTACATCGTGAAATATGAACATTAAAACTGCAATTGATGTTTTATACGATGCTTTTTAAGCTCATTATATAGGAAAAAGTACGATAAAAAATCATCATTTAGCTTAACATTTGTTGTAAGGCTTGCCATTAATGTCGTTAAGATAAAATTTAAAAAAAAGGAATATGTCTTTCATTTTGAGTTCAAACGGATAATATATACCGTAAAAAAGTGAAAAATTAATTTTAAAATATCGTTGAGATATCTTAATGTCGAAAAGAAAGTAACAGCAGGGGCTTTTTTCATGTAGACTTTTTAAATTCATTCTCTTTAATATGAATGCAGAAATAAGTCGAGTACTCATGGGATTTCCAACAGTTGTGTAAGACTTGACTAATGGCCGGATCTACATTAATAAAAAGAACCAGAAGCCTCTGTCGAGACTGTAGCTCTACTGGTTTGTACTTATAATAAAGGAAGAGAAAAGAAGTAGTTGGGACATAAAACTTTACGAAAGCAATAAATAGAATAATGATCCTTGATTAAGTCTCTCTTTGGTGGCAAGATTGCAATAAGACTACAACTGTACAATTAGCAATTAATAAAATTTTACAGAATTTTCAATTTAGTTACCATGGCAACATCGTTCATCAAAATCAAAAAACCAAAACTGATATTTATGCATCTAAGTGTAGTCTACTTGTATGCCAAGTTATATTATAATCAGACTTAAACTGTATTTGTAGTAGCATTCTGAAAATATTTCACAGAAAATTTTATTTTTAGTAACCACGACAACACCAT